GTTATTTAATTGTTCAAACAATATTAGCACAAATGCTACTTTTCAATAAACTAAGAGGAAATTAATAGTATAACTATCTTAACTATATGCTTTTTTTTGGTGGCACCAGGGATCAAACTCAGGACCTTGTACTTGCCAGGCAAGCACTTATTCCACTGAGCTATCTCCCTGGCCCCTTAGCTATATGCTTTTATAGATGCTTTTCCCTTTGTTTTCTTCTCCATTTCCCCATCCCAGGTTTCCCCATCCCAGGTGTTCTTTCCTTTCGAAGTTTCTTCTCATTTCACAGGATCTATTATACATTTGTACATTCTGGATCTCATTTACTCTTTCAGCTTTTCACACCACGGAGACAATACGATGTTGACATGTGAGTCTGATTTATTTCACTTATGAATATTCCCTCAAGATGCATCCATTTACCTATAGAAGTCTCCAGTTTATTCTTCTTTATGGAAGATTAATACTCTATTGTATAAATAGACCACATCTTTTTTTTTTAATCCATTTTTCAGCTGATCAGCATTTGGGTTGTTTCCAAGATCTAGCTATCACGAATTATGCTGCTATAAACATGGATGCACATATATCACTCAGGTAGTTCTTCTGGGAAGATATGTAGAAGGGGACTAGCAGGGTCAAATGGAACTTCTTTCTTTTTTAAATTTTTATTTATTTATTTATGTGTGTGTGTGTGTGTGTGTGGCCAGCTCAGCCCACCTGGGGGCGGGCCAGCTGGCATGTGGTGCTGGGGGATTGAACCGTGGTCCCTGTGCTTTGCTAAGGTTGTTCTAAGTAGGTACTTTAGACCACTGAGCCATTTCACCAGCCCTCAAATGGAACTTCTAATCCTAGTTTCTCAAGGAATCTCTATGCTATTGTAACAGTGGTTGTACCAGTCTACATTCCCACCAACAGTGGAGAAGAGTACCTTGTTTCCCTGTAGCTCTGCCAGCATCTATTATTGGTTGATTTCTTGACAATAGCCATTCTTTCTGGGGTGAGATGGAATCTCAGTGTTATTTTAATTTGCATCTCTTGAATGACTAATGATGCTGAACATTTTAAAATATATTTATTTGCTATTTCTATGTGTTTATCTGAAAAGTGTGTATTCATCTCATATGCCCATTTTTGGATTTGGTCTTTGAATTTGAGAGATCTTTTTTTGAGTTTTTTATATGTTCTTGATAGTAACCCTTTGTCTGAGGAACAACTGGAAAACATATTTTTTCCCACTTTGTGGGTTGCCTCTTCACTCTGTTGGTGGTTTCGTTTGCTGTGCAAAAGCTTTTTATAAGATGAGACCCCAGTTATTGATTCTTTGTGATAGTTCCTGTGTAGTTAGGGTTTTATTCATAAAGTCTTTGCCTATATCAATGTCTTCAAGAGTTTTACCTAGTCTATCTTGCAGCAGATTTAATGTTTCTGTTTTGAGATTTAGCTCTTTGATCCATTGAGTTTAGTTTAGTGCATGGTGAAAAATATGGGTCCAATTTTCATCTTTGGTAGGTGCAGAGCAAGTTTTTCCAGCACCATTTATGAAAGAGGCTTTCTTCCAATGAATGTGTTCAGCATCTTCATCAAAGAGAAGGTGACTGGGGCCAAGGATATAACTTAGTGATGTAAATGCCTGCCTAGCAAGCACATGGTCCCAAGTTTGATCCCCAGTGCAGGATTAAAAAAGATAAGGTGGCTGAATACATCTGGAGTTGCTTGTTTCTGCATTTTCTAATCTATTCCATTGAGCCTCATGTTGTTTTTTTCTGCCTGTGCCATTTTGTTTTTATCACAGTAGCTTTATAGTATAATTCTAAGTCAGAGATTGTGATGCCCCCTGCCTTGCCTTTGTTGTCCAGAACTGCCTTTGCTGTTCTAGGTCTCTGGTGGTTCCAAATGAACTTTATGATTGTTTCCTCTAATTCTGTGAGGTATGCTGTTAGAATTTTGATCAGAATTGCATTAAATCTGTGTAACAGTTGCAGCAGTATGGCCATACTCACCGTGTTGGCCTTTCCTACCCAAGAGCAAGGGATAGCTTTTCATTTTCTGATATCCTCTTTCATCTCAGTAGAGCCTTGCTTGATCTGCCAGCTTGCATTTGCAGCCCCACTTCCTCAAGTCCTCTCGCTGCATTCTCCACCAGCCTGGGTCTGGCACCCCAGTAAGCCAAACCCTTTCCCTCGGTGGCCTTGAGAACACCTCTACATCTCCTTCAACAACAAAATTAATAACGTGCACAAAGGAGGTAGCTCTTAGCTTCATAACAAGTGAGGCCTCACTTTGCCCATTTTACAGATAGGAAAACTGAGACTTAAGAGAGGTTGATCAGTGTTCCCAAGATCAGTTAGTACGTGAGAATCAATAATGAAAACCTGGTCTTTCTTCAAAGCCTGTGATCAATCTCAGCCTGGCTGGTCTCTTTCAAAGAGTAGTTCGAGTCATATCATTCAAAAGCCAGCCCCAACTCCTCAGTCTGTCTCAGCTCACTCAGCCACCCAGGGTGGGCCTCTTTGTTGCACCAGCCAAGGCAGACACTCAGCACAGAGTGACTGCAGAGGGTCTACCAGTCTCACCATCAATACCGCAACTCCAGGAAGATAGGATCCTAAATCGAGCACCACACCAAGCACATACCAGGTGCTCACTTTAAACAACTGTTTGGAAAAGTCAATGGACTAAAAACATTTCAAAGGAACTTTCTTTCCCAGGGATCTAAATTTAGGAATATTTGACACTCTTCTCATACCGACCAGTCCTTCCCAACCTTGCCTGGATAATCCTCACCTTCCTTCCTCATGAGACAGTCTCTGTCCTCCCAGGTTGGACTTCTGACTCCGCAGGTAGCACCACGGTACTTGATCTTTTCTCTCCCAGTGCTTGCTCACCCAAGGCAACATGGAGTGGTGCTCATGAGTTTTGGAATTGACCTGGCTTAGTCACTTACCAGTGGGGGACCCCAGAGAAGTTATAGAACCTCTCCAGTTCCCAGTTTTCATATCTGCAAAATAGGACATCAGAGTTGATCTGAGGATTGAAGCAGGTGCTTTACCACCTCATGACATGGCGTCACCATTGCTGGTTTTTTTTTTAATTTATGTGTGTGTGTGTGTGTGTGGCCAGCTCAGCCCACCAGGGGGCAGGGCTGGCTGGCATGTGGTGCTGGGGGATTGAACCGCGATCCCTGTAGCTTTGCTAAGCTTGTTCTAAGTAGGTGCTTTTGACCACTGAGCCATCTCACCCATTGCTGTTGTTTGGTAGACTGGAAAATGAAGGTAAGAAAGGTGAGGGGCCTTCCCAGTGTGTGTGTGTGTCTGTGTGTGTGTGTCTGTGTGTGTGTGTCTGTGTGTGTATGAGAGAAAGAGAGAGAGAGAGAGAGAGAGAGAGAGAGAGAGAACATGCGTGTGTATGGTCAAAGGACAGGCCATCAACTCCGAGTCCTGTTGCCTCCACAGTGCCACCAGCTACCAGCTATGAGGCTTTACACTGAGATTCAGTACATCCCGGTCTCCTCAGCACACCCCAAAGTTCTCCCACATGAACTTCCTCAGCACACACCAGCTCCATCCCTGAGTGGCTAATTCAACCTTTCCTTCAAGTAATTATTTAGCAGTTACTGGAATTGAATGCAGGGTCTTGACACTGAGCTGCATCTCCAGCCTGGCCCTCTTTTTTTTGTAAGCCAGGGTCTTAAGTTGCCCACACTGAACTTGAACTTGCAGTTCTGCCTCAGTCTCCGAGTGCTGGGATTACGTGCATGTCACTATACCTAGTTTAATCTAACCTTTTAGAGTTGGCTGTATCCCTGCAGTTCCAACTATTTTAACAGTCCCATCCATGGTTACAGGGCCATTTTGTGCACTTGGAGAGATGCCGCCCATAGGGCTTGGCCTCCTCTTGCAAAGGTTGTAGGTACCACTGTTTGTAGACACCTTTTTTGGGTAGGGAGTTGGAGAGGGCTGGAGAAGCAGGGCAAAAATGGAAGGGAAACAGGACGACTGTACCACGGACATCCCTGTGGCAGCTTCCTCCAGGGCGCTGTGCCATTCCTTTCAGTAGCTGCCGCTCCTTGTATTTTTGTACAAGTTCAGAGGAAATGGAGATAAAAACAATGCAGGCGACTTCTCTGCAGTCTGCTCACTAGGGGGCACCAGCGGCACAGTGAGCCTTCTTTGCAGCGAAGGAAAGATGCGCCAGCAGGTGTCAGCATCCTCTGTGATCCGGGGAAGAAAAAAGTCCAGGTCCCAAAGAAAGGGCAAATATAAGTCCTCACCCCTTCAAGACTCAAGTTCCACTAAACCTTGAAGATCCAGTTGAGGGTGTCATGCTTTGTTCAGGAAGTTCCCTGTGAGCCCTCAGATACAGTCTGGAGATCCCTCCTCTTCCATCTCCACGGGAGATAACTACCACCACGGGGAGGATACTGCCTAGCTGCTCCACACCCCTCAGGGCAAGTAGTTTATTTATCTTTGCATTCCCAGGGCTAGCACGGCTTTGGTTTCAGGGCTGGTGATGGAGCCCAGGGCCACATGCATGCTAGGCAAGTGCTCCACCATGAGCCTACCCTAGCTGGGCACAGCTTTACAAGTAACTGGGAACCACAGAGATGCCATACAAGCTAAAAGAAGGGACATCCTGGAGAGGCTTTTTTGCCTTTTTAAAGCCAGGAAGCAGTTCTTTCTCTGCTTTGGATGAGGGGGGAAAAGAGAGCTTTTTGCTAAATAAAGGCTAGACAAGAGGAGGAACCTGATACAGACTGAGTGAATACAACTTAGCCAAACATAGACATGGATTCTTGGTACAAAGACAAGGGAAACCTGCTGTTTTTTCAGGAGTGGGGCAGCTGGTGGTGGCTGTGGGAAGATGGGATTCTTCAAAGGGAAGAGCGAGGATTGGTGGCCTTATTTAAATAGCTTGAAAACATCAGAGAGGTTGTTACTTAGGGTCCCCACTATCCATCAGGATGCCTTTCCACCCACCCCTGTAGAGGCAGCAGAAAAGATAGGAATATAGAGTTTAATTATTGTGCTGCTGTTATTAACCAGAGTGTAATCAATCTATCCTGTGTGGATTTCAATGCCACAGTGTACATGGGAAGGTTTCACACAGGAGCACTCTGGGGACTGCTGGGGACAAAAGGTCAGGGCCTCTGGTGTGAAACAGGTGGCAAAGGGCAAAAAAGAAGGGAGATGTGGGGACCAGACACAGGGCTCAGAGTCTGCCCCTTCCCCATTAGCAATGTCCAGCAAGAACCCCAAGGTCCTTCCTTTTGAGGCTGCTGGCCTGGCTGGCCAGATGAACCCTTGACTTCCTCCTGCAGGCAGCTGCCTCTGGCTTCGTGTTCCAATGCTTGCTTAGCAGGTGAGGTCCACGGCAGGTCCACAGTTGACCATCAGATGGAGGAGGGATGTAGTCCAAAGAAGAAGCTAGAGGGTCAGAACACCCCCTCCCCACCGTGCTCTATTATTAATCCCAAGAGACTCTCAATCTAGTTCAGAGCTAGGGAAAGGACAACAGTGGCCCCTCCTCTGGTATTGGGCAGCCTGAAAAGTAGCCCAAACTGCTCTGTCAAGACCATGCCTCATGTCAAGAGTAGTGATACAATTTAGATTTAAGGCATGGGCCCTGAACAGCTAAGAGTCAGAGACACATAGAGCTTCCACCGCATCGCTCAGACCCTGGTTGACGCCCCCCACGGCCAGGAGACAGTTCTTTATGACAATACTGGAGCAGGCACAGCGGGGTGTGGGCATGGCCGGGAGGACTTCCCATTTGTTCTTCCCTGGGTGGAAGGCTTCAGCTGTCTCCAGGACTGTAGGCTGGTTTCCTAAGAGTGACAACAGAATCAGACCTTACCAATCCAGCTACCAATCCCTGCCTCCCTCTCTTGCAGACACACAAGCACACACTGAGAAGCTGCTGTGGTGTCCTTGGCTCAGATGCAGCCCCCTCCTCTTCCCTGTCCTGGGCTGGTGGCTTTCATTAGGCAGCACTCTACCCCTCCAATCTTCTCCCTGTCTTTTTGTTTTCTTAAGAATAAGCATTCACCCCTCACCCCTGGTTTTTATCAGAACTTTTTAGAGCACTGCTGTATCCCCTCTGCTTTTCATTACAAAAGTTATCATGTTGGGCTGGTGAGATGGCTCAGTGGTCTAAAGCATCTACTTAGAACAAGCTTAGCAAAGCACAGGGACCGCAGTTCAATCCCCCAGCACCACATGCCAGCCAGCCCCGCCCCCTGGTGGGCTGAGCTGGCCACACACACACACACACACACACACACACACACACACGTTATCATGTGGTCTAGCTTCCATGGTCTTTTCATGCACAAGTAATGTGGGGCTATGTCCACACTTGAATTAAGTGTGCCTCAAGCCCTACTGCCTGCATCTCTCTGCCCTAATGACACTGGGTTTCCTCCATTACAGTCCTGCCTTCAAAATACCAGCAACTTCTGAGAGGGATAGTACATCAAATTTTAAATCTGTTAGAAGCATGTATTGATTAGATGTGTTCCTATCCCAAGATAGGGTTGGGTATCTAAGGAAAAGAGATGGTCAGAAGAGGATGAAGGCCCCTCCAGTCATTCCATGGATTTGTGCTCTTCAAACCTGGGTTACATGGCTATCAGCATGTCCCTTATTCTCTCTGAGCCTCAGTTTCCCCAGTGCAACAGGACAGAAAGCCTTCATCTGGGTTCCCAAAGTGGATAAGCAAAGTCCCTATACAAGGGAGAATGGGTTGTGAATTAAAGCATTTAGAATAAAGAAGTAGGCAAGCAATGTACAAAAAGCCACAGGATTCTGCTGCTCATGCAAAGTGCCAGGGATCCACAGAACACAAACATCCCAGCCTGGAAGTTCAATCCTTACCAAGACCCCCAGCTACTATGACTCGTCCACTCAGAGCGCCAGCCACAAAGTCTGCCCGCCGCTTCTTGAGGAAGAATGAGCGTTCCATCTTCAGCCATCCCCCTACAGGCCACAAAGAAGAAGAATCAGGGGCTGACCATCCCTATCAAACATAGACAAGCCCTAAATGGCTCTCACCCTAGGCAGCGACGCCCTTCCATTTACTTTTGTGGGTGTGCACAGCGCCCCCTGCTGTTTGCAACGACCTCCTCTGCCACCGGTACCCACCCCATGCTTCTTGTAGCTTAAAACATGGAAATTCCCAAGCTGCAGAGGAAGCTGATAGAGAGTAAGCATGGGAGTGGACATCCCTCTGTTTCTCCATCAGTAAAGAAAAATCCCTCCCTGATTAGATCCTGCACAGATACTGTAAGAAAATAATACATAGAAAAGGCTTTGATGAAAATAACTAACTCATGGAAGACAGCCCTACACAGATTGAAATAACTTGACCCTGTAAGTAGTCCTGAGGAACACAGCTGTTCAGATTTTGGAGAGGCTTCCCCAAGTGGGTAGGTGGCCTTGGGAACATGGATGGGATGGAGGGAAGCAGGGGTCAACCTGAAGGAAGGCAAGCAGCCAGCACTTCCCTGGGGAAGCCCTGAAAACACAGGGCAGAGGGTAGCCCCCAACTCACCCTGTTCCATGTCAAACATATCCATTGTTCGCAGGAACTTGGGCTGCCGGTAGAGTCGACCCTGTCGCAGGCCTCCTACACTGTACAAGTGGTTGTCCAGGGTCACAAAGCTGGAGAAGGCCCGCTTGCAGGGGATGTTGGGAAACTTGGTCCAGGAGCGAGTCTCGATGTCAAAGACCTCGAAGGCATTGACTGCATACTTGGACTGGCGTCCCCCTGGAGGCCAGAGCAGGTTGGAGGTGAGCAGAAGAGGAGGCCCTGAGCACAGTGGCTGGACCTCCCCTTCTTCTGTTACCCATTCACATAGGAGGATCCCTGAGGGTTGGGCCAGTGTGACCATCCCCCATGTCAAGGAGATGGAAGGAGGGGAAATGTATAACAGGCAACTCCTCCTTACCCAGCACGTAGATCTTGGAGCCCCGGAGGAAGGAGGTGGCAGCATATCTTGGGGTTGGCATGGGTGCTAGTGACACCCACATGTCCTTGAGCATGTCATAGTGCTGGAGGTGGTTGTGTGGGCGGAGGTCCAAGCCCATCCCGCCTGCTGCATATACTCGGTAATCTAAGAGAAAGGCCACATGTACTCCTGGCTCAGGTGCCGGCACCAGGAGAAAGAGCCACCAGCACCCATTATCTACTAGGGCCAAGCGAAGTTTGATGGCACCATTCTGTTATTGTGGCACAGCCTGGTCTTCCTGGAACCAAGAGGGCTTTCTTTAGAATCCAGCTCTTGGCTAAGTCCAAAACACTAAGTCCTGTACAGAGGGAGATTGTGGTCCAGACGAGTTCTGGAGCATCCCCTATGGTTTTGTCCACTCCACTCTTTCCTTCCTGGGCAGTCAGAAGTATCCTTTTGATGATGCTCTCTAGTGGTGGCCTGTTCCCCAGGAATTCCCAGATGGAATTCTCTAGAAACAACAGGAATCTTTAGACACAGGTCAACCCCACTGTCCCTGGCTTTGTGGAACACTGGGCCATCTCTGGTTCTCTTTTTCTACCACCCACATAGAGGAGTGCCGTTTTCCTGCATGGATTAGGAAGCTTTTGGGGCCAGAAGACATCCACACTAAATGAGAGGTGAGAGACTGGCCCCTCCCATAAATCCTGCCCCTCTCTCGCTGCTCTTGGCTGTAGGGGAGGCTTTTCTGGGACCTCCATAATGAACACCATATGACAGAGGATGGACAAGCACCCTGCTGCTATGCCCCAGCCTTCTGCAGGGTCCTCTCTTTCTCAGGGACCTGCCTCTGGGTGAATACTACTCCTTTTACTTTACAATCTTACTGAAAATAAAATAAAAATCCATCCCTAGCCTAAGGCTGGGAAATGGGGCCTGATATTGAAAGACTCACTTAACATAAGCTCCCCCTCCCATCCTGTTACCTACAACATTTTATCCTGGGAATCCTCCCATCCACACTGAAAATACCACACCTTTCTGCTCAGCTCAATTCTAACTCACCCTTTCACACTCACCTGGGGTCCTGGAATTTCGAGCCTGGGCCAAAGACCATCTCAGTGCCACCTGAGTGATGGCATCTCTATCACCCCGCTGGCCACATGTTACTGAAATCATCCTTGTCTGTTTCTCCCACTAGGTTATAGGTCTTTGAGCATCTATTAATCTGTAGTTCCAGAATCTTGTTCAGTGGCTGGCACCCATGCGTGTTTATTAACTGCTGAACCCATTTATTGCCATAGTTAGGAGCACAGGCATGATCATCACTTACTAGTTGTGTGACCTTAGGTCAGTGACTTGACCTTCTTGGGTTTTATGTTGCTTCACTCTAAAATGAGGATTCAAATAGCACTCATCTCACTGGAGAGGTTGTGACGGTCAAAGGGGATAAAGCACAAGTGGTACAGATTGGGAAGTTCTTAAGCTTTCAGGACAATCCATTGATACCTGCAATGGAGGGCTCTCTTTTCTGTTCCCCGCAGACCTTTAGACGTTCCAACCTTCTTACTGAGGGGTCACAGAAACCCCCACTGGTCACCTTGTCCTAGGAAACTCTGGGATAGAGTTTCTCTTTAGTCACCTTCATTGATCGGACCCTGGCTTCTGAAGGCAGGACCAGAGGTGCCTGTTTTCCTCTTTACTGGAGCAGAGCAGGTGATAAAGAAATACTGGTTTCTGGTCTACCATAGGCGTAGCAAGAGTGGAAGGATGGTGATGGGAAGAGGGGTAAGTCACAGTCCATACAACCTGTGCTGCCTGGAAAGTATACAGTGTGTGTGTGTGTGTGTGTGTGAGAGAGAGAGAGAGAGAGAGAGAGAGAGAGAGAGAGAGAGAGAGAGAGAGAGGTCCCCTAACTCCCATGGTACATTTCCTATAAAACCTTTGCATTTGCAGAAGAGCTTCTGGACTCCCTTTATACTCTGGGCTGTACTATACCGCCTAGCCCCCATGAAAATAGCTGTGATCCCACTTGGCTGAGGGAGAAGGATCACAAGTCTGAGCCTAGCCTGAGCAATTTAGTGACTTAGCAAGATACCCTGTTTTAAAATAAAATTTATAGGGGCCAGGGAGATGGCTCAGTGGAATAAGCGCTTCCCTGGCAAGCGCAAGGCCTGAGGTCAATCCCCGAATAAAATAAAATATAAAAAATAAAAAGGCCTGGGTACGTAGCAAAGGCACTGGGCTCAATTCTCAGTAATCAAGGAAAAAAAAAAAAAAAGAATGAAATGAGAAGCTTTGAGAAAGTGAAATGAGCACCTCAGGACTGCACAGTCAGCAGTGTCTGTCCAGGAACTTAGTGAAGGAACTAGGTGCTGCAGAATCACACCCCTCGGGAACATTCTGGTGTCTACTTGGGAGACTGTGAGGGGGAGGAGAATGGGAGAAGGAAGAAGGGCCTCAAACCCAAGCCTCCTTAGTAGGGCCTGGTGATGGTGTGAGGAGGTAGTGAACACCCTGGGGACCCCAGATAGTGTGTGGAGGTGATAGCCGCTGAGGAAGGGTTTGAAAGGATCTAGGGTGCCTGGGGGTGTGGTCATTCAGTTGATGCTGGGGTCTGCAGACACATGGCACCCAGCCCTGCAGCCCATGCCCTGGTAGTGCTCTCTGGAAGTGGTCTGTCCAGCTTGTGGGCAGTCCCTGGAGTGGACTTCTGCTCTCAGGTGCAATTCCTAGCTACTTCATTTGCCGAGTCTCAGTTTCCCCATCTGGAAAATAAAGTTTCTAGGATCATATGGGATCAAGTGTGATCTTAGGCCCTCCCGACAGTACTGATTTCTATTTCCTCATCTACCCTACTCCCTTTTCTCCCCCCACCCGAAGCCCTGGCCCTCTTACCTTTGGCCGTGACAGAAATGCCCATGGCAGCCTCACGCAGCGTGCTTCTTTTTTTCCACTTGCCCTCGTCAATATTGTACATCTCCACGACCTTCAGGGGCAGCTGATCAGTGCCCACGCCCCCAATAACCATAATCCTCTTCCCCAGGGCTGTGATGGCCACCCCGGCCCGGGCTGTGGGCATGGGGGGCAGGGCGGTCCACTGGTCGGCCTCGGGGGAGTAGACCTCGAAGCAGTCCATGGGGATTCCGTTGTCATCGCATCCCCCGATAGCATAGACCTGTCCCCCGGTCTCCAGCAGGGAGCAGTAGACCCGGCGACTGGGCAACGGCGCCAGACGCTTCCACTGGAAGTCCTTGACGTTAGGCACCTCCATGGTAGCCCCGGCGACCTTGTCCGCCCACAGCACCGGGCGAAGTTCGAGCCCCGTGACCCGCGGGCTACTCCGAGCCGGCCTTCGGGTCCCCTGTCGCTTCCATCTCGCTCGGGGGCGCCGGCTCCCGCCCGACGCGAGCCAGCGCCTCACTGTCCCTCAAGTCTCAGCGGTCCGGCGGCGTCCACGCGTAGCCCTGCGGGAGGACCCGGGCGGATTAGGGGGGCCGGGAGCTCGCGCCCTCGAGCGTGAGGGGCGCACGGCGGGCTCCGCTGTCCCTCGCCAACTTTAACGGGAGACGCGATGGCGGAGGGCGCCACCCCGCGGCGCCACCCTACCCTGCACCGCCGTTCCCCTACCCCCTCCCTGCCCGGAAACGCCCGACCGAGTAGGGGGCTTCCGGAGACTCCGGGCGCTAGGCTGTCCCCTGGCGAAGGACAGAGTGAACGTCTGGCTGCCCCCCATCTGGACGCCCGTGTCCCCCGCTACTTACATTGCCAGGCCCGAGCGGCGGGGCGCACACGGCGCACTCCCCGGGCGCCCGGATCCCCAACCCCGCGGCGCGGGGAGCGGGGGCGAGCGTGCTCCGTCCTTCCCCGGTCCGCACGCTGCTGTCACACATGCAGATGAGGAGAACAAATGAGCAACAGGAAGGAGAAGCCGAGCCGCCGGCCGGAGGAGGCGGGAGCCTTCCCCAGCACGGCCTCCCCCGGCGCCGCCACACCTGTGCCGGGAGCCCAGCGGCTGGAAGGCCGGCGGGGCGGGCGGGCCTCGGACTGGGCCGGGCCGGGCCGGGCCGCGCGGCGGAGACGCTCACCTCTGCATCGGGCACGGGAGCCAGGGACCCAGATGACGGGACCAGACTCCTTCCCGGTGAGGGGGCGGGCGTTTGCGAGTGTTTGTTTTGCATGAGGAGGCGGAGAGTCCAATTACCCAGTTTGTCTACAGTACACAGACCCAGTTCGTGACAGGCTGGCTTTGCTTTGGGGGAGGTATTATCATACGGTTTAACCTCACAGAAACAAGTTCCGTGGGAGTGCTGCGCGCGGAGCTGGCAGGTGCCTCCAACTCTAACCTGCGCTTACTGTGTGTGCACAGCGTAAGCGTCCGTCCCCTCCGCTCCCTCCAGCAGACACACTGGAAACGAGGGACAGACGCACAGGTATGCGAACGCACACCCCGAGCCACCAACATTCATAAATGCAGACAGACCGTCTCTTTCTTACCTAGGTTTGAATCCTGGCCCTGATAATCGTTCATTCCAGACTTCAGTTTTCTTGCATACACTTTCACCTAGAATTTTTAATTTGAGATAAGTCATAAACGTACATGTGATTGTAAGGAGGAAATTCCCTTTACCCAATTTCCCCCCGTGGTAACATCTCATAAAACTATAGTAGACTATCACAATCTCTGTGATAGAGTTTGTCCAGTCAAGACCCAAACATTTCCATCTCCAGAAAAATCGCTCAAGACACCATTTTATATGCAGCCGGGTTCTGTCCTCCCCTCCCCCCACACCCGTAGCAGCCAATAATCTTTTATCCTTTTTCATAATCTCCTCACTTCAAGAATTTTAGACAAACAGAAACATACAGTATGGAAACTATTTGGATCACCTTCCCTATCATTCCCTGGACTTCTATTCAAGTTGTTGTACATGTCAACAGTTCATCCCCTTTTATTCCTTGGTGGGGCTGTGTCCTTGCAGGCTTTTGTGAAGATTGAGAAAATATTTATCAAGAGTTCACTGTACCTCTGACACTTGGCAAGGGCTGGGTACAGTGATGGTGAACCGTTTAGAGACTGAGTGCCCAAACTGTGACTCAAAACCCACTTATTGGGGCTGGTGAGATGGCTCAGTCGTCTAAAGCACCTACTTAGAACAAGCTTAGCAAAGCACAGGGACCGTGGTTCAATCCCCCAGCACCACATGCCAGCCAGCCCCGCCCCCTGGTGGGCTGAGCTGGCCACACACACACACACACACACATAAATAAATAAATAAAAATTTTTTAAAAACCCACTTATTTCTAGCAAAGTGCCTACACTGCAATCAAACCTGAATACCAAGGCTGTAGTTTAGGGAAAAGAAAAATTTTCCAATGTTTGGCTTATGTTGAGACAGAAGGCTCTGTGTGCCCGGTATGAATGCCATAGGTTTGCCACCACTGGCCTACTAAATCTTTATCAATACCATTACTGTGGGCCAGGGAGATAGCTCAGTAAAATAAGCGTTGCCTGGCAAGCACAAGGTCCTGAGTACAATCCCGATACCGCTAAAAAAAAAAAAACCCACAAAACCATTACTGCTATTATAATTTCTTGGGAGAAACAGAAGTCTCAACTCACAGTAGGCCCATCTTAATATAGTTGTAATAGAATTATGAAGCTCTTGGCTTAACAGTTTCACTGCTTTGTACTTTAACTGTCAGTACTTACAAAATAAGCATAACTCACATTACCAACCCAAGAAGCAGCTTGGGTTGAAATCCATAGACCATCCTCAAAGGAGCTTTTGGGGGTCTGGCTTCAGCTCCACTTGCGCACTGAGCCTTCCACTGGAGTAGTAGGGATGCCCGGCAACCTATCCAGCTGGGGCAACTTAACAAGCACGTACACAGACTGCCATACCACTCTGTGCCACAGCTTGAGAGAATGAGATAAGCTAAAGCCCTTGCACATCCAATTTCTCATCATCTTCCCCTTCCCCAAGCCTGGGAATTGAACTCAGGGAGTCCTGAGTTATACCCACAGCCCTATTTTTTATTTGGTTTTTAGACAAGGTGTTGCCAGATTGTCCAGGTGGGCTTTAAGCTTTGGAACATCCTGCCTCAGCCTCCTTAGGATCTGGGATTTACAGACATGTGCCACAGTGCCTGGAAGCTTTTTCCTAATCCAAGGAGAGGTCTCCAGGGCAGGTGTCAGTGTCTGTGACATACGGAGGAGCAGCCTGAGACTCAGAGAAGTGACTTACAGCTACTCAAGCCTCTCAGGGTGGATCTAGGTTGGAAATTCCAAAGCTAATGCTGTCCATCTTTATCACAATGAAGTCACAAGTGCAAGAATGGAGCATCATCAATAAGCCACGCTTTTCCACTCTCGTGGATTTTGGCGTCTTCTCCAACTGCAGTGAAGGGAGGAGCCCAGGCCCCTCGAGGGTTTGCAGCACCTGCCCACACTGTCTGTACCAGGTTGCACTCCCAGGGAAACTCTGGAATCTGATCCCAGAAAAGCCCCTGTCCTAGCCCTGGCTTATGCTGGGTACTACGCTGTAAGCAGGCCATGGGATCTAAAGGTCCCGGGCTTTGGAAAAGTACTAAGAACAGGATGTCTTCTGGGCTGTGCCCTAATTGCTTATTCTGGAAGTCCTGGCTTGTGTCCGCCCCTCTTTTTTCTCCCCCCCCCCATGGCTTTTCTTCCCCGGCAGGTGACATCCTTTAGTCCTTACATCGAGTGCACATTAAAGAAGCTTGTAACCTAGCAACCACCACTTAAGATTCCCTGAGTCACCTGCAGTTTCCATGCCTGGGCTGAGTGCACCAAGCTGTGGCCTTCAGGAGTAGCAAGCCCAAGAGGAGTCCAGTGACTCCTTGGATCCTTTACCACCCAACTTGGTGTGTAACCACTTTCTAGGTCAGGAAGTCTGTCCTCATGTCAAACCTAAATCCTTCTTGCTGCAGGATCTTGAATAGCCCTGGGTCTGGCTTTCTGTTCTTTATTAAAAAGTATTTGATGGGTGCCGAGAGTGTACTTTTGTGGTAAAGTGTGTATTTGGCATGTGTGAGGCCCTGGATTCGATCCCCAGCACCAAAACAAACCAATAATTGTGTGACTTTTTGCTTTGGAAAGAAAAATAAATGGGGGATCTATTTTTGGGGGACACCAAGGTCTCAAAAGCCACTAAAGATTAGGCCTTTGGCACTTTGGGGTATTATAATATTTATTATTATTTATTATCTACAGTCAAGCTTATAGATGATCAACCCCAGGAAAAGACATTAATCTTTTTTATCATTAATTATTATTATTTTATTAATTTTATTGAGAAACAAATAGCAATGAGACAATTTCAAAATGGATTAATAGGACAGTTTCAGTAATTAATACATTGCATGTTGTTGTCTTCGTAGTGGCTATTCGTAGTGAGATGCAGACATGATAACCTGTCCAAACAAATCTTTCTTCTCATTGAATTAAGAGGAAGGAGTTGTATATCTATCCTAACTATTTTATAAACACAGATACAAAATGGTCCTTCATTTTCATCTCTTTTTTTGTTGACATTAATCTTTTAAAAAATTCACACTAATGATTTGTTGGGGGTCTAACTTCCATACAATCAAATGCAGTTTTATTCAGAATCTATCGAGATTCTGTTATGTATTCAGCAAGTCTCTTTCTCGAACCCTAAGGCTGGGTATGCGGAAGCTGGGTGTCAGGAGGGAAAAGGATGGTTTAGGAAACCAGCACTGTGGCATGCAACCGATGAAGCACCTGCTTGGGAGTTTGGAGGCACAGGTGGCTTCCAAGAACAGGGCACTTTTATTTTATTTATTGCAGTACTAGGGATTGAACCACAAAGAGCCACATCTTCAGATCCTTTTAACATTTTTTAAATTTTGAGACAAGATCTCTCTAAGTTGCTAAATTGCTCAGGTGGGGTTCAAACTTGTGACCCTGATCCTCCTGCCTCAGCCTCCCTGACAGCTGAGATTTCAGGTGGGCATCACTGTGCCCAGCTCTATCAGTTGCAACAGAATCTCCTTCTCCCTCCCTACACATACATGCTGCCCTCCTCTCAGGGAAAACCTCTCACCCTTCCTTGTACCATGCTGGTTGGAAGGACTCTTGGGGAGACCCCCCAACCAGATGGTCATTTCTGTACAGCTCCCTGTTTGCAGAGCCCCACAGATCATAGGATATTGGGAGGTTGAGCCAATTCTGAAGACAAGTCAACTGAGCCTGAACCCCCACTGAGCCCCACCCTTTGCACCCGTCTTGTCTAAGTCTGTCTTGGTCAGTATCTCTTTCCATCTGGCTAACTGAGCCCACTTCCGCTGCAGTCTAAACTTGTGGCCTAATTTTCAGGACAGCTGGTGTCAGAGCACTGGATAATCACCTGCTTGTTTTTAACCAGAAGCCTAGTCTGTGTGCAGGTGGGAGAGATGGTAACTCACCCACTTGGGACAGAGGTGA